AGCGTACAATAACTAACAAAGTAATACATATATATATATATATATATATATATATACGCACAAACTGTAAAACTCATGCCTGAACGTACAAACACATGGAAACTACATTGTCACACATCATATATAGTACAATGTTACCACTACGACACCGGTGCCACGCCTCTAAACCTACACTCACACCACAACACCAATACTACCCCCATACGAGTCATACCCACATGAACGCAAATGCAGACACATACCGCTGCGGCCGAGTGCCATCCCGTGTAGGTAACGTCTATGCGTATCTGTTGTATGTCTGCGCCAGTGATTTCGAAGATCTTATTAGGCGAGTACAAGTGACGTACCACCGTTTGACCGGACAGCCGCGACCACACACTCGCCTCTCTGTGGGGCGATGAGAGGAGTGAGTTAGGTGGTGCCATGACACGAATGGGAGAGGTGTGTGCACTTGTGCTGTAATCACATGGGAGGATGTGGTGAGAGTGAAACGGCCCAGATCACTAGCTAAGATGGTCTCACAATTAGAACCAACTGTACAGCAACACGCATATACACGCACACGTACACGCATGCGCACACACACGCGCACACGCACACGCACACGCACACACACACACACACGCACACGCACACGAACACGAACACGAACACGAACACGAACACGAACACGAACACGAACACGAACACGAACACGAACACGAACACGAACACGAACACGAACACGAACACGAACACGCACACGCACACGCACACGTACAGATACACGTCCACCTACACGCACACACGCACACGTACACGCACACGTACACACACGTACTTAGCCATCTCTTGGGTCTCGAAGAACGATGCTGTGTGTTTGTTGCGCAGTGTCTTGCGTATCTTAAGCACCGGCCGTCCGCACACGAGAATGTCAACGCTAATGACATTACGTGTGAACGTAATGGCGTTGGCTAAGAAGCGGCCGAACGGAGTGACCTCTGGCAGGGGCACGTGCGAGCGGAGATCAAACACGAACTCTGTGGAGGTGGGTGGAGGGGAGGGTGATAATGTACTGGATAGGCTGAGGGGGTATGTACTTAATTGGGAGAATGATATAACAAGCACACGGACAAACGACAGACAAATAAACAACAAAAGAACACACAAACACAAACCCTAACCCTACACCAAACAACCCTAACAAACCTAACAAACAGGGCACATGCGTTTAATTTCCAAATAGTAGGTGTACAACGACATATTTAATTGGCATGTCCATCTCTGACAATACACGCCACATGCGCGAACTTGCTAGTGTCGTCATAGCAACGGGTGTGTGGTGCGAAAAGTTGCGTAGAAGTACCCTCAACAAACCAAACACGTGTACAACAAACCAAACACGTGTTTGTACTTGAATATACGGAATATGTGCAATTACCTGTCCACTTATTATCCTTCGCCTGATTCTTACTGTCTCCGAACATGGTGCGTAGTTGGTCCTTGACCCATTTAAAGGCGAGCACGTGGTCGCCGGAGATCACCATCGGCTCCTCACATACAGAGAAGACACTGTAGAACCCAACGCCAAAAAACCCAATCTGGTACACAACACAATGGCATGTCCAATTATGAAGGTGAGTGCGAGAAGACTACAACTATACGGTGCAGACGAGCCCTGCATATAACATATATACAGGATACTATATATATATATATATACATATACATATATATATATATATACATATACATATATATATATATATATATATATATATATATATATATATATATATATATATATATATATATACTATATATATATATATATATATATATATATATATATATATAGTTATTATTAGTTAGTAGTTATA